TCTGAGAAAGATTCGGATGGTGTCCGACGGCTGCATGATGACCCAACTGTCATCGAGTGTAAAGTGGCCAATCAAAGAATCGGTAGGATACTTATTGATACAGGGAGTTCGTCGGACCTCATCGGCCATAAGTGCTTGACCAAGCTCAAGTACAGGCCTGAGAGTATACAGCCTGTCTCCCATCCTCGCATAGGATTTGGAGGGGAATCGTCCATCCGATTGGTCAAGTTGACTTTCCCGTCCGTCTGGGTGAGAGAGGTCAGGGCCGCCACATGGTCATTCGTTTCCTGGTTGTGGAAGAGCGTAGTGCTTACAACATGATCCTTGGGCGCCCCACCCTTAATGACTCTAAAGCAGTTATCATTCCATCCCTTATGTTGCTCAAGTTTGAGAAGGATGACAAAACAGTCGGTTCCATAAGGGGGGACCAGAGAATGGCAAGAAAATGTTACCTCACTAACATCAAAACAACGGTAACTTCAGACGGCCCAACTGGCAAAGCCATAGAAGAAGCGTCTGCCCAAGAGGCAGGCGGCAGGAAGAGAAAAGCCTCCGAGACGGAGGTCAAGAAAAAGCATAAGCAATAGAAATCACTGGCTGAGGAGCGGCCGGATGAATTCCGCCCTCAGCCAGCTTGGGAGCACGTAGATGTCGCCCTCGATGACAGTCGTCCAGACCGAACTGTTAAGGTGGGGACAACTGCTCTGACTGAACTGGGCAATGACCTTCGCCAACTGCTGAAAGAGTTCCAAGATATTTTTGCATTTGAGGTGCATGAGATGCCAGGTATTAGTCCAGACCTGGCGGTACACAAGCTAGCTGTCGACCCAAAACAGAAACCGGTACGACATAAGAAAAGGCATCATGGTGAAGAAAGAAACCAGGCGGCCGCCGCCGAGGTAAAGAAGTTACTTGATGCGGGATACATTCGGCAGTGTCTCTACCCAGAATGGGTCGCAAATGTGGTGCTAGTCAAGAAGCCGAATGGTTCCTAGCGCATGTGTGTGGACTACACTGATTTAAACAAGGCATGTCCGAAAGGACAGCTATCCTCTGGCAAAGATCGACAGCTTGGTCGACTCAACAGCCGACCATGCCTTGATGAGCTTCATGGACGCCTACTCAGGCTTTCACCAAATCCCTCTATGGAAAAAAGATCAAGAGAAAACTGCCTTTGTCACAGAGCAAGGACTCTATTGTTACACGGTCATGCCGTTTGGTTTGAAGAACGCCCCGGCAACCTTCCAAAGAATGATAAACACTGTGTTTTTTGAACAAAATGGAAGAAATGTGGAGGCGTATATTGATGATATGATTGTAAAGTCAAAACTCCAAACGGACCATCTGGCAGACCTCCGAGAAACATTCGCCACACTCAGGTGACACTGAGTCATGCTTAATCCAAAAAAGTGTGTCTTTGGAGTTGAGTGTGGGAAGTTTCTCGGATTCCTGATAAATCAAAGGGGAATAGAGGCAAATCCTGACAAGGTGCAGGCGGTCATTGACATGCAGTCGCCTCGCACCGTCCGAGAGGTACAAAGGCTAACAGGCTGCCTCGCAGCTCTCGGAAGGTTTCTCAGTCGGGTAGGCGACAAGTGCCTCTACTTTTTCCAGGCAATTAGAAAGAAAGCAAAGTTTGAATGGGGATCAGATGCTGAGTCGGCCCTCCAAAAGCTGAAAGAACATCTGCATTCCCTGCCGAGACTCGTCAGTCCTTTGCCAAAGAAGTGCTTTACATGTATCTCGCAGTATCAGATCATGCTTTAAGTGTCGTCCTCTTAGCTGAAAGAGATGGCTGCCAACTCTCAGTCTACTTTGTCAGTCATGTCTTGAAGAATGCAGAGTTGAGGTACCCACTGGTGGAGAAATTTGGACTCGCCCTGTACATGGCAGTGAAGAAATTGAAGCCTTATTTCCTGGCACATCCGGTGGTCGTTTACACAGACTAGCCAATCAAACAGCCCCTGACGACCATGGAGTCGTCAGGACGGATGATAAAGTGGGCAATTGAGATCCAAAGCCTTGAGGTCATGTTCGAGCCCAGAAAAGCTGTGAAGGGGCAAGCCTTTGTAGACTTTATAGTTAAGATGACCCGGCCACCAGAATATGAAGAAATTGACCAACTCTGGAAAGTCTATGTTGATGGGAGTTCCACAGCAAGTGGTTGTGGGGCAGGTATTGTATGTCAGTCGCCAGAGGGTGACAGGTATGAATATGCGCTTCGCTTCAAGTTTCAGACGTCAAACAACGAAGCTGAGTATGAAGCCCTTTTGGCTGGTATCCGCATGTGCAAAGCAGCTGGGGCAAGAAAGATAGCCGCCTGTTCTGATTCACAACTCATAGTCAGCCAGTACAATGGGGATTATGAAGCTACTCATCCGGCTATGGTCAAGTACCTAGAGGTCGTGAAGCAGGCGGCAAGATCGCTTGAAAATTTCCAGTTAACTCAGGTCCCAAGGTCCGAGAATAACCAGGCAGACGCCTTGTCCAAACTGGCATCCTCGGCCTCATGCGACACCCCTAGAACTGTATTTTGGGAGGTAATGGAAAAACGAAGTATTGAGGAAAACAACATTGCAGTCCTTGATAGAAGCTCAACATGGATGGACCCAATCAGGGCATACCTGACAGACGGCACCTTGCCGAATGACCATCATCAGGCGGCCTCACTAAAAAAGCGAGCGTCTAGTTTTGAAATGATAAAGGGGGAACTCTACAAGAGAGGGTATCTTCAACCCTTCTTGAAATGTGTTACCCCAGAAAAAGGGCGAGAGGTCCTAGAAAACTTACACTCTGGATATTGCGCCTCTCACATAGGCGGTAGGTCGCTTGCTCAGAGAGTGAGGCGGCAAGGGTACTTCTGGCCGACTCTAGAGGCAGACGCCATGGATCTGGTTAAAAAGTGTGACAAGTGCCAGAGGTTTGGCAAATTGATTCATCGTCCAGCTATAGATTTAACGGCTATCCACAGCCCAATACCATTTGCTAAGTGGGGCATGGATATTCTAGGACCCTATACGCCTGCATCAGGCAGCAGGAGATACATCCTGGTAGCAGTCGACTACTTCACCAAATGGGTGGAGGTCGAGGCAGTCAGGGGCATCAAGACCAAGGATGTAATCTCCTTCATTTGGAGGAATGTGATCACTCGTTTTGGGGTTCCTATGTCCATGGTTTTTGACAACGGTCCCTAGTTTGAGACGCCCGTTCTCAAAACTTGGTTGAGAGATCAAGGCATTGCCTACTGCTTTGCATCAGTCGGACGGCCGCAAGCAAACGGCCAGGTCGAAGCATTTAACAAAATCATCTCAGACGGTATAAAGAAGAAGATTGAGAAAGCAGGCGGCCTATGGGCAGACGAACTACCACATGTTCTCTAGGCCATAAGGACGACTGAAAAAGGAGCGACTGGAGAAACACCTTTCCTCCTAACATATGGTGCAGAAGCTATCCTACCCATTGAGCATTATGAGCAGACTCTCCGAGTTATGCTGTATGATGAAGATGCAAATTGGGAAGCAATGCGCCTAGCATTGGATTCCCTTCCAGAACGTAGGGGCAATGCTGCCCTACGCCATGAAATATACCGCCTGAGAATGACTCGAATCTACAACAGAAGAGTGCACAAGCGCCCACTCAAAGTAGGGGACTTTGTACTAAGGAAAATGGAATCAGTCGGCAGGGCCAACGAGTTGGGAAAGCTAACTCCTAACTGGGAAGGACCCTACCGAATCTATGAGGAGGTCAGGGATGGCACCTACCGTCTGGAAACTCCAAAGGGCCGACCCCTACCTAGGACTTGGAATGTAGACAATCTGGAAAAATATTACTTTTGATGTAATTATTTAAAGTTTATTAATGAAAGTTCCAAGTTCACCTTCTTTTCATATGTTTCAAAAAGGAGTACACTCCGTCTGTCCCAAGATAGGCGGATACCCTCCAACACATATTTACTAAAGGGCACGCCTATTTACCCACCATACGGCTAACCAACCCAGGCACCCAGCCGCTTGATTACGCTTAATTTTTAAATTAATACGACCTGTCCCAATAAGTAGCAGGCGTCCGACGACATGCCATTTGGATGAGATTCGTCACAGAGAGCAGCTCCCATTTGGGTGGAATAATGCTCTATAAACTACTTACACGACCCCTATACAGCTGTCCCCAAGGACAACATATCCGTTTTGAGACAAGGATAACTCAACACTTTCATAAGTGTCAGCAGTTGACATCTGCGTCGGATAGCCGCCTGTATTACTTGGGATAAGTACAGGAGGCGCCCTCTGAGTTAATAGTCAACAAAAATTGACGAATCAAGGGGATTAGTCGGCCATTGACGACTGATACCTCTACTACTCAGGATTAGAAGCAGCCACGATTGGTTAACACCATAGTTAAACCATAGTTGTTCTTCCACACTTGGTCTGGAATCCTAAAAGTTTGAGCAGTCCGCCTGGTCTTTGGCAAAAAGGAACTCAAACAAACATTCCCACTAAGAAATACTAAATGAACCTGAACAATCTAGAAGGACCTCTCGGTGTCCGACTGGATGTGATAACGACTGATACACCCGTCTGAATTGACAGTCGTCCAAACAACAAGTATCCTACTATGTTTCTCGTAAACATACCAAGGAACTTGCGACAATTGATAAAAAAGCGACTAGCCGACTGTTCTCTTAGAACTAGGCGACTCCTGTAACTTGAAATGCACTGTAAGTTGACTAATTCAGTCGATACCTTACCACTGTGACTAAGTGCATTTCACCCAAGACTCGTTATGTTTGCTACTAAGGTCCGACTGTCTATGGCCGACTAGTTACTCTCTTTTCAAGAAGTAACCTAGTCGTCTAGGGGAAAGGGCAGTCGGCATCAGGATCCAACAACTTAGCTAAAAAGTTTAACATGGATACGCCATACAAGCGGCTATTAAGTTGCAACATGCGAAATGTTTGGCAAATTCAACAAAAATAAAAGTCAAAAGACAACAGTATATGTAACAGCAAAAGAAGACTCAACAGTCGCCAATTCATATCAAATTAAAGCCAGACAAGCTGGCAAGGTTAAGTTAAAGCAAGACAAGCTGACAAAATATTCAGAAGCCCCGGCCCCCTGGCCGGGTAAAGATACACAAATACACGGCACGCAAGCCGGATCAAGTTTGAATATAGAAAAGCTTAAACTGTTAGAGGGACCTCGCCTTCAGCAGCCGCCTTCTCTTGCTGAGGAGGGGACACTTGATTGCTCTGCCACCCTCGTTGGTCTTCCCGCCGATCAACCACAGTCATCTGCGTTTCACCGTCGTCTTCTTTTCTCAACAACATTGACTCCAACGCCGCTTCATGGCGGTAACAAAAAGACATCCTAATAGCAAAGAGTGTAAAATTAGGGCCATATTAACCCTTAGGGAAAGAATCTTATTCGCAGTGGCAACTTCATCTCAACAACACGGTGTTAGGAACTTCGAACAGTTAGAGGAAGACGTTGATTTCATGGCTGTGATCATGTGATGTAAAAAGGGAGGAAGACAGGATTATATTTACATATTAATCCCCAATTTCATTGCGGAATTTACCAAAATACCCTTAAATTAATAAATTGTATATCAGGCTGATATTTCCTCTTTCTCGAGGTTTCTGGCGCTGCTTGGCTTCTGCTTTGCTAACACTATCGGCCTTTGGAGTCGGCTTGCCAGAAAGGAAACTTGCTGTAATTACTCTCTTCAACGTTAATGTTATGTCTCTCACTCAACTTGATGACGATATTGTGCGCACCATGTTCATTGGCGCCGTCTTCTCAGACTTTGTGAGTTTATAATTACTTTAATTCCTTCACATTCTTTCAATTCTTACTCTTCAAATTTGTTGCTCATTAAATTGTTTGAATTTCAATTTGTAATGATGTTTAATTTTCTTCTGTTTTTTTGTTGTTGTTATTTTCTTATTTGATTTTATTCAATTTGAGTGCTGATTTTATTATTTTATTATTTTGTTGGATGCAATGCATTATGATTAGCTGCTTGAAAGATGCTTTTGATTCTATAAGGTGTTGGGTGTAATAAATTCAATAGTTTTGAAGAGGTTTATTTGAAAAATTAGGCTTGTAAATTTAATCACTAAATTATAAATTTGCAATTAATCAGCATGTGGATTTGTGTGGTTACCAATGAGTTATGAGGGAAAAGAAGCAGAAAACAGAGAAAATCCAAGTTTTTTCATCTTCATAAACAAATGTGGTTTATCAAGGGGTAAAATTGGCGTATTTTGGGGTAGAAATGGTAAGCGGTTTTACCCATTTCTACCCCGAAATACACCAATTTTGTCCTTTGATAAACATTTGCTTTGTTGATAAAGTGGGGCTCCCTCCAGAAAACATGCTATTACGCATAAATGATTATATGTCAATGTTCATTTAAGATGACTCCATTGGGAATGAAGTTGAATCTCAAGAATTACTGATTACTTTTTAATTGGCTTAGTTCACTACCTCAACATGAAGTGCATAATAATTTGGCATTGATTAACCAGTGACTTTTCAGTTTGCCATTCCTCACACAACTCGAGAGGGTCATAGAAGTTGCTATAAAATTTCCATGTTTGTGCGCCTTGGTCCACACAATATCCTGCTCTTATATAATTTGTATGTAGATAGGATTACATTTCCGCTCCTTCTAGTCATGTTGGAAGTACAAGAGTACTTAAGAATTATGTGAACCATACCCTTCTTGAAAATGTGTATGTTTTAGCCCCAACCATGATAATCAGGCATATAAGCTCCAGTCTTGGTGATCCTTGATCTTTGTTCTCAACTTCCTTTTTCTAATTCCCTCTGCTACAACTCTGTGTTGGCATATAGCTCTTAACCTAAATGTTCTACGATAATGCTATGTCATTTGGATGAATGATTGTATAGTCTTAAATGTCTCAGTGGGAGAGCTCTTTCTCGCTTTGTTGATTTCAACTTTATCTTTCGAAATTTTGTTGTCTAAGGTGATACAAAGCTGGTTCATGGTTGTAGGCATGAAGGCCATTTGTTTTTGTTTTCAAATCTTTTGCCATGCTCTATCTTTCTATAGTTTAGGGCCAGTTAGCTATGAGATTTTGATTCATGAATATGAGCGCTATTTCCATGAAGGTAATGCTGTATTTTTTAAAAATTAGCACTTCTGTAGGTGCAATATCAACAGTGAAATTAGTCCCATGCTGCATGGAGACAGCTTGACTGTAGACTATGATTCTATTACAATAGCTTTAAAATATTGGGACAGAGAAAGTGTTCAGAAATCAAATGTGAGCAGATGCTAGCCTTTCAGTCTGTACTTATGTACACTTGTTAAATAAGTATTTTACTCATTCAAATGGATATTAACACTAAGGTAAGATCCTTGAAAAATAATGAAAATGTATACAAAAGCTTGAACCATCCAAAAACATCTTTAAATTTGACACTTTTGAATAGTCGAAAGTACAATATTGATATTTTGAATAGTCCAAGTTATATCATTGATATCTGCATCGGTAGCCTTGCTTGCCGACATATATTTTCCTAGTTTCAGCAATTGATCCATGAAAATATTAGGATCATGCAAAATGTTGATCTCTCTATGTTGAATACTTCTAAATAGTCCGGCGGTTAGTCTGAGATTCATCATTGGGACCTGCATGGAAGCCAAAAGTTGCTGACTTATGTTGCCTAGTTCCAACAAGTGACTTCCTCATGGACCCTTTTGGCTCTCAGTGAAATGTCTTAATATTCTCTAACTCATATTTGCTAAAGTACTCTATGAATTCCAAGATATTTCGTCCCACATACAACAGATAACTAGAGTCCGCAAAATTATTCATGATACTAAATAGTATTGTTTCATAAAGAATGAGACATGCCAATGTTTAACAATAATCTACTAAAAGAGGAATAGTGGGAAAAATTCTGGAGAGCTTATTTGAAGCATCATATGGTTTTTTTTATTTTTATTTTTTTTATTCTTTGTCATCACCAGGTAATTATTCTTTGCAGGGTGGAAAGATAAACTCAATCGATTTCCATCGAACAAGTGATCTGTTGGTTACTGCAAGTGATGATGATTCAGTTCGACTTTATGACATTGTTAGTGCCAAGTGAGTCCACTATTCGAGATAATACTGAACTTAATAATTCTAAGCTATTAAGTATCTCAATTACTACCTTACACTGTTCTTTCTGATATGTGCTTCTTACATACCTTGATAATGGCAACCTATTATCAATGAACCTGCTCTAATAAAATTTTAGTTAATTTCGTTAAATGGAATGCCTAGTTTTTAAGCTAATATATTGTTGATTCACTGATTTATATGTAATGATTTCCAGACTTCTGAAGACCACATATCATAAAAAACATGGTGCTGATTGTATATGCTTCACCCACCACCCTAGCTCGGTGATTTGTTCCTCCAAGTATAACCTTGATTCAACAGGAGGCAAGTTCATTTACTATTGTTTCTCGACTATGTTCTGTTTCAATCATGTGCAGGCTTCACTGCTTGCTGTCTGAATACTATGTAAATGTGTTCTTGCTTCTTTCTTGCAGAATCCCTACGATATCTTTCCATGTATGATAATCGCTGTCTTCGTTATTTTAAAGGCCATAAAGAAAGGTTTGAATATCGTCACACGAAATAGTTGTTAACTGTATAAATGGCCTCTACTGTTGGATCCTTGTTGATCTCTTACTTGATTTTCTTTTGGAATCATATTGGATGTTGTGGATCTTGAGTGTGAAGTCTTGGAAATATTCTTGTACTACCATTTCTATGTTACCTCTCTTTGCCGAAGTTGAAATGCCTTGGATTACTAACATCTGCTGGTCTATTTTGCAGAATTGTTTCCTTGTGCATGTCACCAATCAATGATAGCTTTATGTCTGGTTCCCTTGACCACAGTGTAAGAATATGGGATCTTCGAGTAAATTCCTGCCAGGTAGGTCTCTAACCTTTGTAAACATATATTTTTTTGTTCTCTTTACCAAAAAGGATTTAAGTGACCACTGTTGTAAATAAATCTAGAGAATACTTCTTTTCCATTGCAAGTTCATTGTTATATAATTAAGTAATTAATTAATTGAGTGTTGTTTTGTTATGGTGTGACCAATTTCCAATTCAGTTAAAACAGAGAAACTATGTGCTGTGTAATTTAGTTAGGCCTACCTCATCCGGCTTAGATGCTTTGAGGTTTATCTTGCTATCTTCAAAATTTGTTTTTATGCTTATAATAAAGATGATATACATCAATGATAATGGGAGAAATTTCGTTGAGCTTATAGCTTAATTGACGAACCTTTATATGGAGTTTAACTTTCTTTACTATGAAACTCCGTAGAATTTGATTATATCCATATTCTAATTTTCTTTTAAGTTAGCAAAGCTCAATGTAGCTTTTGAAATCCAAATTTCTATAACTTACAAGTTTGTGTGCACTTTTCAAATTTGAATAAGGATCATTAGTGGATCTAATTTGATTGTTTCATCGGTAGTTATTATATTTCACAAATAATTATGTAGTGCATTTCATCAATATTCAATAATAATGTTTGATTAAAGGTACATTAATGAATCTCACTTAATATGCAAGTGTGGTTGGAGGCATATCACCTGCCACTAGAATTACATTTACATCATGTAATTTGAGATGATTATTCAAAATTTTCACATAAATTTCTATTTCAAATGTACTGCATACTTTAGGGCTCTGACGCTTTTTTTCACAATGGCTTAAGTCATGAGAATCTCCCATCCTTTAGTTTATATTTAGGCTAAACAAAGGTGTGAGTTTTATGAAATAAATTCTAATCCCATCTTGTCGTCTATCAACATCACTTGTTTTGTTGATAATGACCAAAGTTTATGAGGGTTTTGAATTTGTAGTTGCAGCACATTCCATATTACATCTTAATTAGTGTGTGGACCAGGTGATAATTTTTTTTTATTTTTGTAAAATTTTTTTTTATTGTTTGATGATTAATTTGATAGTTTTCACTCTGTAATTTTAGTTTGGAGCATTTTAAAATAGTATTTTAATTTTAACTATCCTTTTTTTTTTTTTTTTTTTTTTTTTTTTTTTTTTGTGGTTAAAATATTAACCGATCTTTTTAGATTGCTAGTACTTGGAGAGTAATTTCCATGCCTTGTATGTTATCATTTGTTTGTTCAATGATATTCAACACTTAATGAATATTGAAAGGATATATAGTATTTTATGACATATTGAAATTATAAGTAATTTTCGAAACCATACATCTGCTAAAAATACTTCAGCAAAAGTTAACATTTAGTCACTGCTTCAATGGAAATTATCAAATTACATATATAGAAATCCAAATTATAGAAATTAGTTTCAATAAACATTTAACCGATAGAACTTGGTTATATTTTAGCAGAGTTAGAAATCACAAATAATTAGTATCAAAGATGGTAAAAATTCTTATCTAATTCTTGTTGATCCTAAGATCAAACCTTATTATTAACGCTATTTTGATGTCATACATTCCATGGAAGCCAAAATAGATCTTTGATTTTTCCTTGACATGCGGAGTTTTTCTGCATCATTATTCATTTTAATCTATCTCTTCGTCTTTCTATTTCTTAACCTTGTCTCAGGGTCTTACACATAAATAGTTGCTTATCAGTGAATGCACAGGGTCCTTTGCTGTTGTTTAATATGCAAAAGTCTTATTAATTTTGACTTTTTGGTTCTGCTGGAATTTTGAAATTGTCCATTATCAGTATGGGGGTTGTTAAGGAAAACTTAGGATCTAGAACAAAGATATCAGGACCATTGTACGTTTCCCCATCTTGCAAAACCAGTTCGTTCATCCCATATCGCAGAATAAACCCAATCCAGGTCGCTGCTCATTGCAAACAAGATAGCCAAAGGTAGCGACCAATATTCTCATCCTCTGTCACTGCAACCACATCAATTGAGCCTAATCTCAATCAGGGGTATCGTTTGATAACCCTAAAAATGTGATTGAGCCATCGAAGCATTGTTGGGCAATGACTTTTGGCTGTGAGCCTTTGAGTGACAAAGATGTATAGAATTTTTTTGTTTGTGGAGTCCCTCCAATGATCAAAAACTGGTACTAGATAGGATCATATGAAAACAAGTGTTAGACTGAAAACTGAAACGTCTAAATGTACCCATGTATAAGTCAAAAGTACCCCTTTTTTTATGTTTATTTTGGATGTACACCGGTTGTCACGAGGTTTTGAAATTCTGATATTAACATCTACAATTCCCTCAACACATTATAGAAGAAACCTACCATGGTTTGTACACATTTCCTCATAACATCAACTCTCGTCTCAAGTTTTACGACAATTTAATTATTATACATAATGCCATTGTGCTATCCAGTAGGCATGGAGCTTTTAAGGGGTCGTTTAGTTGGATCATTTGGAATAGCATCTAGTTTTTTGGTTGGTTGAAGTTTTTAGTAATGAAATCTCATACCCTAAAGGCTTCTAACTCTCCCCCATACCTATTGAATCTCATACCCACCCCTCCCCATAAGATTCACAATCCATTCTATTAATGAAGGATATAATCCATTGCAACAATAAAACCAAACAAATTTGGACTAGTATGGGTTTTAGAATCCATACCTCTCTAGTATGAGATTCCATACCAATCCATTCCAACTTGATGAACCTAACACCCCCTAAAAGAATCACATTGAGGTTTGATTCTAAAGGTGCTAATTACAATGTTGTTTTACATGCATTTCACTTAGAAGAGTTTGAAGGTGAAGTCATGAAGATCAAGCATATGTAATAACCAACAAACATGGCAACATATTTATTAGCCCATTTTTTTTTTTTAAAATTCTAAATTAAGTTCCTGTTAAAGCATACTTCGTATGATTTAAAAGGTGATACACCTATTATTAAGTACATAATAATCCTTAGAGTTTACGTGCATTTCAGTTAGTAAAATTCCATTGATATGGGAATTGTTATGATTTTGTTTGAACTTGTATTGTTTTCAGGGGATTTTACGGTTGCGGGGAAGACCAGCTGTTGCATATGATCAGCAAGGACTTGTTTTTGCAGTTGCAATGGAAGGGGGTGCTGTTAAATTGTTTGATTCGCGCTCCTATGATAAGGTGTGGGACCATATAACCTAGACACTTGCATGCAAATTCCTTATATTTGTACCCCTGATAATGATTTTAGACTTTCATTGTAGGGTCCTTTTGATACCTTTCTAGTCGGTGGAGATACTGCGGAAGTCTGTGACATAAAATTTAGTAATGATGGAAAATCTATGCTCTTGACAACCACAAACAATAATGTGTATGTCCTTGATGCATATGCTGGGGAAAAGGTTACTTTTATCTTAGCTGATTATTTCATTTGTATTTGGCTCGTATAAACATGAGTTTCTATGAATTCTTGTTTCATTCCTCCTGCACACTCTACAGAGAGAGCTTAATCAATGAGAAATATTTTAGTCTAAATTTTTTCTCATGCAGCGCTGTGGATTCAGCTTAGAGCCTTCACATAACACAACGATAGAAGCAACATTCACTCCTGATGGACAATACGTTGTTGCAGGTCTGTATTGCTTTTCCTTGGCACTATATGAAAAAATGCTGTATACTGTGAAAAACTATGCTTCTTCAATATATATATATATATATGTATATATATATATATATATATATATATATATATATATATATATATATATATATATAATCAAAAAGAGAAAAACTCACACACACAAAACATATCTTTTTGAAGCATGTGACTTGTTTAAGCCTATTTGTGCTGTTGATCTTTCCATTACATTTGTTTTGGTTCCTAAGCACTGATCACTATGCTTGAACATTTTCATTTGCCTTCCATATGTCACTCTAAACTTCAAAAAAAAAAAAAAAAAAAAACACTATATTTGAACTCTTTTGTTGGCTTTTCATGGACTCAATGATAGCTCGATGTAAATCCCTAGGGCTAAATGCCATGTTTAATTTTCTATCCAGGTTCAGGTGATGGAAGCTTGCATGCTTGGGATATTAAATCAAGGAGTGAGGTAGATTATCCTCACTATAACCTTTTCCATTTTCCCCTCTAACAACCATTCCTTTAATTGGCACTCGCTCTGTTTTAAAATAAGTACCTTAGTTTGACCGGCACATGTGCCAATGAATTTTGACCCATTTTTTCACCATATACCCCTGAGTTATTTTTTTATTCACCATATACCCAATTTTTTTTTCAAATTCACAAAATACACTTGAGTTTCAAAAATTTGTCACCAAATGCCTTTAATGACTAACGGCGGTTAACTCCGTTAGTCATTAAGGCTAACTATGCCACGTGGCAACCTATGGTTGGTTGTCATTTAAATTAAATAAATTTTAAAATAATTATTTAATTAATTATTAAAAAAAAACCCACCCACCATAACCCAGCTGCAACCACCGCCCTGTCCCCGCCAAACCCCCGGCCGGCGTCGAATCTGCCGGAACCCCCGCACCGGCGTCACCTTGACCCGACACCCAACCGACGGCTACCCAATGCTAAGCTTCCCCTAAACCACCATGCTACCCAATCGAAAAACCCCCTCCTCTCTCCTCGAAAAACCGTCCCCTCCCCACCGCACCGCTGACGTCCAAGAACTCCTCCCCGCGCGGGGAGAGGGGCTTTGGACGCGGCGGTGGGGAGAGGAAGGGTTATCGAGGGAGAAAGGGGGTTTTGAGGATTGGGGGAAGGGTGGTTTAGGGGAAAGAAAGCCGGCGAGGGGTGGCTAGTCTGGGTTGCCGGTAGGGGGTTCAGGTCGCCGGCGCGGAGTGGTTGGGCTAGGTCACCGGCGGGTACGGGGTGGTGGCTGGCTGGTGGTAGGTTGGGGTTTTTTAATTTTTGATAATTAATTAAATAATTATTTTAAAATAATTAAAAAGACAACCAATAAGATACGGACACGTGTTATAATTAGCCTTAATGACTAACGGAGTTAACTGTCATTAGTCATTAAGGCCATTTGGTGTCAATATTTTTTAAACTCAAGGGTATTTGGTGAATTTGAAATTTTTTTTTGGGTGTATGGTGAATCAATAAGCATAAGTTATAAAAAGTTTATTTTCGAAAACTATATATTTGAGATGACTTAACTTTATTAGTGTTGTATGTGAATTGTGCAAATGTCCGATATAGGGACACTTAAAAAGAAATTGAGGGAGTAGGAAATAGAGGGAGTAGCTTTGTTTATGAGACTCTTTAGCATCCATATTCTATGAAGTGATTTATTTACATTCATTTTTGACAAAGCTGATGAGTCAACAATGGGAAATAGTTTTATCTCCTTATGCTTTGGTTATGTTAAGCTTAATAGTTTTATTATGTTAAGCGTAATAATTTTATTCAACCTAAGACCTTATCACCTTATCGCCCGAGGTCTAAAGTACCGTGAGGGTATGCCTCCAGGGTTACCACCTTACAAGGGGTAAAACTTGCTAATGTGTGAGTAATCTTATAATTGCTACAACAAGTGAAAGATTAATGCAACATAGAAATGAAATATAGAAGAGGTACTATTAACATCCATACAAGAAGTTGCACAAACTAAAGATAAATACATGATAGGGAGGATTACCTATAAGTTAACACAATCGGAGAAAGAGTAATGATCTCAATACATGAGATGATTAATACTAGACTAAAGTTAAGAGCTGGGAACTACAAAAGATTAATTGTTGTTTGTTTATGATAACATTTCACAAAAGATATTCCTAATTATAATTATGAAATTAATTATAGCAGGCCTAGAAAGTTAACCTAAGACAAAAGAAGATAATAGCAATAAAGATAAAATAAAAAGAACAATGATGGGGCTTTAGAGGGGGGAGAGAACAAATAAAGTAATTGAGGTCAAGTGCTTGAAAACAAAAAGAGCAAGAAATCAACTGATCTCATCGCCTACCCTTCCTGTAAACCTCGTGCCAAATTTGAAAGACAAGGCTTGAAGTTATCGCAATTGTTCTTAGACTCCCCCGTGTTTCGTCGTTTCGTCCGGGGGAACATAGTGTATGTACTTGCCCTTCATGGCCTTTGGCCCTCTTCTTTTTCTCGGTTCTCCACCTTCTTTTTCGTCGTTTCCCCTTTATTTTGCGCTTTTACCTTTTCAACGATTTCCTCCTCCCTATTGGCATGTATGCATTAGACCTCGTTGGGTAAGTGAAGGTTTTTTGCCTTATACTCCTTCCGTCCCTAAATATAGGTCCCATTTGACTTATTGGTCCAACTATGAAAACTTTTACCATAAATTTCCGTTAATTTATAAGAGATAATATGTTCATGTGGGATCTTGTTGGATTCGTCACATTCTATATTTTATTAATATCACGTTTTAAAAAATTTTACGCGTATAAAAATAGAGATATAGATGTTTTAAGACACATTTTGGAGACCGTGAAAAGTCAAACGAGAACTACATTTAGGGACGGATGGAGTATATGTATTAGGCTTCGTTGGGTAAATGATGGTTTTTTGCTGTATATATATATTGGGCCTCATAAGGCAAATGAAAAATTTAATTTAAGTATCTCAATTATATTTGCAGGGCCGTCTTGAAGATTTTGGGGCCGGTGCTAAATAAAATTTGGGCCCTTCATAATTTATAAAATAACTTTTGGATATTTATCTTATTATTATTACTAAAAATAATAGTAACTCAATACAATTTGAACCATATATTAACCTTCTAATGTTAGGAGGCATAATTAAACACAACAAATATTATAATAATCACATAATAAAATGTAAATAATGGTAGTAGCTTTGAATAAAGTGAAAGACATATCCATCCTCAAGTGACATATTTTCCCAGTTTCTTTTCCAATTTAGTTCAACCTTTTAACAATCAATTAAAATAGTGAGACAATCAAATTTATCAAACTTTACCCAAATAGAATTTGCCAAAAAATGTAAGATTTGCCTATAGTTTATCACTTTATCCCAATTAGTGTATTCTGATTTTTTTTTTTTTTTGATAAAATGGAATTAGAATAGGGATTAAATAGGAGAAAATTGCACTGTTAAAACACTATATTTCATTGTTATAAATCAGCCTAAAAATGGAAAACCTTTTGATTTCTATATGTACTTCATAATTTATTGATTAGATTTTATAAAGAAAGAAAATTAATTGTCAAATTTAAGGGAATATGAATACTTGGAGAATTAAAGAAGGAAGTTAATTGGGATAGATGAATAAACATGGGAATTGAGACGGATGAATTTGCATTGGAATCGCTGAATCTAAGAAAGAAGATTAATATATTTGGGCCCTCTACTTTTGGGGCCCTTTGCTACACTGCTACTACACCTGTAGCACACCGTCATGTACGAGTTGATTATTTGTTATGCCTAAGGGTGTTAACGAGCCAAGCCGAGACTGAGCCTTGGTAGGCTCGGCGGAAGCTCATCGAGCTTGAAAAATTGGGGCTCGGCTGGAGCTCAATACTCCTTAAGGCTCGAGACTCCTAAAAGTTTGACTTGGCTCAATTCGGTTCAAGGCTTAATTTGGCTCGACTCAAGGCTTAGGGACTTTAGTATTTAGCCCATTTAACAAGTGCCCAAATGGTGCCCATAGTCATGGTTTCTTAAATAATCAAAGTTTGCTATTTGAACTCTCATATTCTATCCCTTGCTCCTATCTTTCAATGTGGGACTATTCCTTTCCTCTTTTTATTTTGTTTGAGTTCTTTCTAAACAATAACATAAATCATCAACAAAAGCTCCAAAACTTAGCGAGAACACTAGAGTTATGTAGATTTCTTTAGTCCCTAGCCTTAAAAATGAAGAAAAGTTTATGCTAATAATTAATTTATTACCAAAAAAATATTAATATTAAAATAAAAAGAAATCGAGCTTCCTCACTAGCTTTCGAGCCGAGCCAAGGATAGCTTAAGCTTGGCTCGTTAAGATCTCGAGCCGAACCTGAGCTCGAGTTGGGCTCACTCAAGCCCAGCCGAACCCGAGCTCGAGTTGAGCTCACTCAAGCCGAGCCTATACTGAGCTTTGGTTGAACCGAGTCTCCAGCAGTTCACAATCAGGCTCGGCTCTTTAACACCCCTAGTTATGCCACATACATGATACTTTTGGTACAAATAAACTTTGCAAAAAGATATGTGATAGTTATGTTAGTTGATAACTATCCCTTTCGATTCAAATGCAGCATTTGGGAAGTTTTATTATCATCCTCCTCGCTGTACGAAATTTATGACAGTTAATATGAAATTGAATTTTCCTGTATTTATATTTCATTTCTGATTATACTCGAATATAAATTATAATGTAAATAAAGATGTCTAGTTTCGGGTCATTAGATACTATGAAAGAGATCAAGCGGCGAATCATGTAGCGCTTGAGCCTTTAAAAGAACTTGAAAAGCGGGTACACAACCCTGTGGGAGAGAGCCTTGGGATAAACACTATGTTTGTGTCATTGACGAAGCAATTAAGCACTAGGTAGATGTTAGCTCCCCATCAAAGGGGATGGTACTATGTCGCTAACTTAAGAAAATCAGGATCCTTAAAGAACAAGACGCTCAAACCAAGTGTTGTAGAGATCCCTGGGATCCACCCCTAGGTACTTGGTAGGCTTTAAAGAGTGTGGCCCGCACACAAAAGGGTCCCTCATACTTTTCTGGCCCAAAAGAGCATGGTTAAGTTCAGTCAAGGCCTCCAGCGTAAAGCGAAATTAGGCCGGTTCAACACCCTTGACCAGAAAATTAGGGCCAATGAAACCTAATTTTTTAAGGTTGCCCTCACATGGAGTTAGGGAGTGACTTCTAAAAGTCTAGAATAATCTGGAACGGAAAACTTTGGGGATGAACGACACTCATCGCTACAATCCGTGGAAGAATTATTGAGTCTTTGGAAGGATGACAAAGGAAAGGGATTATAAAGAGTAGAAGATGAGTCAATTAAGTGTAAAATGGTTGTCTTCCTTTAAAGAATCAAGTTTGCAAGGATAACAAATCGAAGTAAAACTCAAAACCTTTGATTTAGTGTTTATATAGGCAATTTT